GGATGCCCTCCCACTGTGACTTCCCCTGGCACGATTCCCTGAGCTAATTCACATTTGGGTTACATTCATCCGCAGCCCCCTCGCTTAGAGCATCTGCGCACAGCTGGAACCAGACTTTGCACGTGGGCCAGGGCGGTCTCATCATTGATTTTCCCAGCAGTATTGAGGCAACTTTACAGGAAGAGGTGCTGTGTGCTGAAGTTGGGGATCTCAGTTCAATACTCTTAGCCATGAAATATACAAGAGGGACATTTCAGTTCCAAGTACATTTCAGTATGCTAAAGAAGCCTTTGTAGCTTGTCTGTTGCTGCAGGGATGTGGGAATACTTTGGGTCAAATCATACCCCATGAAATTTAACAGCTGCATTAGAAAGTCTTGCTAGCTGGCCCTTGACAACCTTTGGTCAAAGTGCCTTGTATGTGCCAAGCAAAGTGGAAGCACAGCCAATTGATAATGCAAATACTCCAATGCCCTCTTCTTCCCCAAAAGCAGCATTGTAAGTAGTCTGTAGAATATTTTCTTCCTGGGAGCTCAATTTCTGAACCTAGTGCCCTCTTACCCATAGAGTTCAACTCCTGAACTAGCTCCTCTTTCTGAGATAAGTTTGTGCTTCTGATAGAGATTTCCAGCCACTTCTTTATCATTTTTAACCATAACCAGTAAAAAGTGAAAGTTGCTCAGTTGTGTCCGACTCTTTGGGACATCATGAACTGTAGCCCACCAGGCTCCTCTGTCCCTGGAATGCTCCAAGCAGGAATGCTGGAGTGGGTAGCCATTCCCTTCTCCAGGGGATCTCCCCGACCCAGGGCTCGAATACGGGTGTCCTGCATTGCAGGCAGACTCTTTACCATCTGAGCTACCAGGGGAGCCCCACTATACCCAGAGGGAGCATACATTTGGTTATCATAGGGACAGTCAGTGAGACTTGCCGACATGGCATTTCCTGGTCCACAGCCTATTACCTAGTGCTGGCTTTACATTTATTATAAAGTTCTAAACAAATAATAAGACAAAGCATTCAGGGATTGTAAATAAATGATGGGACCAGGTGGGGTAATAGAGAGTGGTGGGGTATATGGCAAATTAGAGAACACACACCCTGTGTAAACAAAGTGGCCACCGCTTTACTTTACCTGATGACCATTGTGCCGAATGGCTGGCCCAGCACTGACAGAACTCTTGGATATTCAAGGGAATCTAGAAATAGGGACATTTTTAAATGTGAAATCCCCCAGCTTTTAGATGTTGCAAGCTGATTCAAAAATGTTTTTAAGTTATGCTAAAAAGAGATGCAACGTAAAGCCACAGATGGCCTATAGGTTAGGTTTGCAACCTCAGAATAACAGAGGAAATAATCTGAGCGATTTAAGCAGGTTAGTTTGTGGCCAGCAAGTCTAGGCCTTTGGGTCTCACCTCCCTGGCTCAGTGTCACCAGCTTTTCATTGAATCTGATGGCAGGAGAGGAAAGACCTTAGGCTGAGAAAAGCAACAGCCACATCACGAGGCAAAAGATGAAGAACCACATAACCAGAGTCACACCCTGGGACCACTAGGACTCTTTGATGACCTTCTTCCCATGACCTTCCAGAGGCCACCACAAAGGCAGCAACATGAAACAAGTGGCTTTATGAGGGACGTTTTCTTTGCCATAATGTGCCTTTGCCTCTCACTTTTTGTTCACATAGTGGCCCAAGGAGAGGGTGCCGGGGAGAGAGTTCTTCTGGGCTCCATACCTCCCAGAAGGGTTCTGACTTTACACGCTTGCTCTAGGTGTGACTGTGTTCTGAATGATTGCTCTTCTCTCCACGTTCATGATTCTCTCTCATCAGGTTTACGTTGCATCTTTCTTAAGCGGAACTCTCGGAAGTAACATCAGAATGAAGGGGTCAGTGTCTGGATAGGGCTTGGGATTCTTTACTTGGAAGGTGCCAGGGCACAGTGGTAGGTGTGGCTGGCTAAGAAGTACAGAAGATGGTACAGAAGATGAGGGGGCCTGGACATCAGCGGGAGGAAGGCTGTGGCCTGGCACGGGGGTGCCCACTTCTCTGGCTAGGGAAGCCATTAGTGAGGAAAGAACACTCTAGCCCTCCAGCCAGGCCTCGCAGAAGGAGCCAGAGGCAAAGCCCTGCTTTCCCTGGAGAATGTCCCCATCACTGCGGCCTTGATCTCCATTTCTGCCTCCTTTTCCCAAATATTGATTTGCGACAAATAGAAGCCATATTGCAAAGTAGTTAATGACAAGGAGTTTAAGATTATAAAGAACTTGGAATGCTCAGTATCAGACTCTGTCACAAAGTGAACTTGGGTTTTGGTTTTTTTTTTCCTTTATAATGTATATTACTGAGCCTCAGGTTCCCCGCATGTAACATAGATTTAATAATATCAACTTTTAAAAGGTATTGGAGGGACTTCCCTGGTGGTCTAGTGGTTAGGACCCTGAGCTTTCACTGCCAGGGCCTGGGTCTAATCCACGGTTGGGGAACTAAGATCCTGCAAGCCACACGGTGTTGCCAAAAAAAATTTTTAAATAAGATAAAAGATGTTGTTGCTGTTGTTGCTCAGTCACTGAGTCGTGTCTGACTCTTTGCGACTCCATGAACTGCAGCACACCAGGCTTCCCTGTCCTTCACTGTCTCCTGGAGTTTGCTCAAACTTACGTCCATTGAGTCGATGATGCTGTCCAACCATCTCATCCTCTGTCGCCCCCTTCTCCTGCCCTTAATCTTTTCCAGCATCAGGGTCTTTTCCAATGAGCTGGCTCTCCTGCGTTGCAGGCAGATTCTTTACTCTCTGAGCCACCAAGATACTGGAGATGCTGAATCACCTGTAAGCAGTGCCTGACACTATCACTAAGTTATATAGATCTTTGGATTCTAGGGTGATCAGTGATGTATTGAATGGTAGGATTGTTACGGACAAGTATTACTTGAGGCTCCCTTCATGTCTTCCCACCCCTTGAGAAACCATGCGGAGGCTGTGACTAGAATGCCCTGTGCCTGGGGTGAGGTACCATCAGGCTCCCCACCCTGACATCTATCCTGGGGCCCTCCTGCTCTCACTATCTCTCTGGACAAGCATCTGCACTGCTCTGTGCTTCTGATTCCCTGTAGTTAAGCCATCCATGACCTCAGTGCCAGAACTCCTGTGTATTTCAACCTCCTCCTTCTCACAGTCAAGGATATGTAAGTTCTAACCATTCCTGTGACATAGCAACATGAAGATGATGAACAAATATATTTCAAGAGGAAATGTTGGGGAATAATCCAGTAGAGCTCTGCTTGGTACTGGGCCTTTTATCAAGGCCATAACTCAAACCCACTTTATGGAGTGCGGGAATAAAATGACCATGTCGGATAACAAAATGAAGAAGCAGGGACAGAAGGGGAAGCCTTGAGAATCCAATTGGATGAAGAGTGTGTAGGCAGAAGATGCGAGGCGGTTCTCACAGGCAGGTGTTTGGAAGGCTGCTAGCACTAGACTCCCCAGGCCAGAGCATAAGAATGGGGCTGGGATGAACCAGAGAGCGTGAGAGGAATGGGATCTACAAGACTGTCAGGAAAACAGAGAAGTGTGAAGGTCCAGGTGTAGGCCATCTTTTGTGTTGTACAACCATAGCAGCCAGCCCTTGTCTTGCTGCAGTGAATATTAAAGAACTTGTCCCCGAGGATGCAACCTGCTTTCCGCCCCAGTGGATTGGCTCGGGAAGATTTCGTCCAATTGTCTGGGTGCACAGCACTCCCGAGCCTCTTCCTTCACAGTTCCCCTCCCTTCCCCAAAACAACCCCAGAGTCTCTTGTTTGCATCTCAGGAAAACACACATCTAGACAGTCCCCGAAGACCAGGCTCTATTCTGAACTACAGAGGGCCTACGAGTAACTTTGTGCTGATTGACTTGTGCTAATTGTGGGGAACGCTGTCTAAAGATGGAGGAAAAGGTTAGACGTGGGGATCCGTGGGCCACAGGTGGGTGAGGCTCTCTTCAGAGGGGTGTCTGCCCAGTCTGGCCTTCCCTCCACACACCTGTCTCGTTCCCAGTCTGTGTCCGTGGTGGTCCTGATCTCCCCTGCCTCACCCCCCCACCTCCCACAGCATATGCCTTTTCCTTCCTGCTCTGGGGTTGTTCTGAGTGAAAGGGGGAACAGTGGAAGATTTTGGATCTGTGCCTCTTATGCTATCAGGCTTCAGCATTTAGAATCTTGGACAGGCTCCACCTGGGAAAGAGTTCCAGAGAAAACAAACTTCAGATCCTGGCTCATATGGGAAAAGGCTCATGTTCACGGAGGCAGCTTCAGGGACCTTGGCAAAGGCTTAGGTGGGCTTGGCCCCTGCCTTTAATGGATCTGACATGGAGTCTTCCAGGGCCTGCGATGCTGCGTGGTTTCTAAGGGAGATTTCACTCTCAAGCTATAATGATACATCTTTCATAGAAGAATTGTCAGGTCTCTAAGGGAACCAGCAATTTTTGTTGTTCTGACTGTTGTGCCCTGAGACGGCCCAACACCCCATCTCTTCTGCTCTTCATTCCCCCTTTTCAAGTTGTTTCCCTCTTGGAGAGCAGCTGAACTTCTTTTATGGGGGAGAAGGGGCCCAAAAGGGGGCCTCAAGACCTGCAGGATCATCCCTTAAGTCATAGGAGTCATCCTTCCAGCCCCAGAAATGACATCCAGAAAAGCAGTTGTGGGCACAAGTTCAGGGTTCCCCAGCCCAAGAAGAGGGATGGTAGTAAGCATGCTAGGGAAAGGTTGAACAGAGTTTATGGTGATTCCCTCGAGCAGTTCTTTCATGCCACTGTGTGATACTCAGAAGACCACGTATCTAGATGTTATATCTAAAATAAGGCAGGTGCCCCTACAGTTAAAGCAGTTGTGAGCACAGGAGCTGGGAACACCTGGATTTCTGTTTCTGGCCTTGGGCACTTAAGAAAACTGCTTCCCCTTGTCTTTGCACTTTGGGGCTCAATACTGACCACTAATTTCCCCATGTCTGCCTCTTCTGCCAGGGGTCTTTTCAAACATAGACAATCATGGGATATTAAACTTGAAGGACAATAGAGATCATCTAGTCCCATCAACTCACTATATATATGAGGAACCTGAGGTCCAGAGTGGGGAAGTGTCTTACCCAAGGTCACATGGTGAGTTACCTCCTTTGACATGTTTGTATGCAGTAGAGACCCCCTCCACCCCTCACCAATTTTGATTCTTAAGGTCTTAAACCTCATGATGTCTTCATAGGTCCCTGAGGACTGGGGGATGACTGGGTGCCTGACGTGGGTTGGTACTAAAATCCCTTAGGTGAGGGGGATTTTCCAGGCCAGCATACTTCACAGGGCCTAGATGAGAAATCTGGGAGAAAGGAGAGAGGGACTATGGCTTGGAGAGAAGCAAGGGTGTCAGAGACCTTCTAGGCAGACTGCCCAGACCCATGGCCTCTGCCACAGACCCGTGAGAGCCCTTGTCTTGGGTTAGCACAGTGATGTTATCACACAAATATCTCACGTTGAGACTGAGTCTCTCTCTAAACACGGTGTCATCAGCCCGAGGAACTTTTCCTCTGTCTCCACAATCTGAGCCCAATGCCCAGAGAAGGAGGGCGCCCAGCATCCAAGATGACTCAACTCTGGTTTCATTGTAATATGTCCTAAGAATGAAGAGGGGGAAGTCTCAGTGCAACCAACCCAATCCCCCCCCCCATCACCTCCAACTGCCCATCACACCCTCCACATACCTGCACACAGCTTTCCTAAAAAGATAGGCTTACTCTTGTCTTTTCTGCACGTACAGCTAAACAAACGCATGCCCATTACAGATGTTATTTTATAGATGTGATTTTAATGTGAGATTGATTGAAAACCCTCCTCCTGGACATTTGATCAAGATTACCCACATCTCTGGATGTCCAAATTCCGTCCATGGCAGTGTGGGCCAGAGACGAGCTGAGCCAGCATGGAAGTCCTCCTTGCCTGAGGCTGCCCATGGCTTGGTGACCACCAGTGGCACCCCTCCAAGGTTTTTCCATCCCCTGTAAGACTTGGAGGGCTTCCCAGGAGGCGCTAGTGGTAAAGAACCTCCCTGCCAATGCAGGAGACATAAGAGACACGGGTTTGATCCCTGGGTCGGGAAGATCCCCTGGAGGAGGGCATGGCAACCCACTCCAGTACTCTTGCCTGGAGAACCTCATGGACAGGGGAGCCTAGTGAGCTATAGTCCATGGGATCGTAAAGAGTCGGACATGACTGAAGCGACTGAGCACATAAGACTTGGAATTATGGGAAGGCAGAGTGATCAGTCATCATTTCACTGAATGGGTGGAGTGGGAGGACAAAGTGAAGAAGAAAGTGTTTCTAGTCTTGGAAGTACAGCACCTCCAGCCTGGTGCAGTCACAGGTGGTCCACAGCATGCCGACTAGGATGAGAAATAGCTCACCAGATTCCCTTAAGGATGTCTGGAGAGCATTCTCCTCTGACCCCTTTGCTCCCCAGGGACCTTGAGGATTATGCCCCCTCCCCACTTCCCTCCCAGGTTCATCATCAGGGCCTCCTCCTACTTAGATGAGGTTGCTCCTCCTCTTCCAGGACAATCCGAGGCCATGCCCCCAAATGTTTTGCTCCCATCCCTTCCTCAGTTCAGTGGAGGCCACAGCAAAAGTGGAGTGTTTCCAGTTTCTCTGACCATGCTTGGTTTTTAAGTTAATCCCCTCCTCCTATCCCTCCCTTTTGCTGAGAATTCGTTTGGCTGTTCCCAGTATATCTGTATCCATATCTCCAGTTGTCCCCTGTGCCCTCCCAACACACCCCCAGCCCGCCCCCACCTTTCGAGCTCCCACTCTGTTTCCCCTTCTAGTTTTGATCTTCTTTGGGGGTTTTGGTTTTTACTTTATTTTGCTTTTTTCTGTTTTTCTGTTTTTTTGTTTTTGTTTTTTGTAGGTTTCAGAGAAATTATGTTGAATCCAATAAGCCTTCCCGGACATTCCAAGCCTCTTAACCATGGCATCTATGCTGAGGATGTCAATGTCTATTTCAGCAAAGGACGTCATGGCTTTTAAAGACTCCCTTTGAGCCTCCCTGTTTTGATGTCTCCTTGGTAGGCTGGGCCCTCTGAGAGGTTGGAAGCTCTAGGCATTGTTCCGTTTGGAGCCGGGGATGCTAACTAGAAACCACATGAGCCGCCGCTGCCCCCCGCGTCCTTTATCGCCACCAAGACGGGTGTGTCCCCCACCCCCATCCGCCACTGGCAGGGTTGCCCTTCCCCTCCAGTCATCACTGTGCTCCTTTTTTTTCCTGGCCTCCAAGGCAGCTCCTGCCATCACCTTTAGAGCCAATAAAGAGAATTAAAAACCTGTGCACCAGGAACCATCTTTTAAACACACTAGCCAGTCTCTTGCTTTCCAAAAACAACCCAACCACCACGAGAAAGCCTGATGAAGTCCAGCCGTGCTCCGGCCTCGCTTTCTCTGCCTGGAAGCGTGGGGTCTCCCTGGCTCTCCTTAGGATACCGGGCCACCCTCTTAGTGACCTCGTCGCCCTGCAGCCTCCCGTGGGGAAGAACATCTAAGGAGAGGTGGAGACGGCGCGGTGAGAGGAGGGGGAGCCAGGCCCACGTGTTGGCACCAGATTAGGTCTCAGAGGAAAGAATGGAAACCAATCATTTTCTATATACATACATACATATATATATATATATATATATTTTTTTTTTTTTTTTTGGTGGAGAAAACCATGTCTTTTTGGGGACACACTTTCCCCCTACTTCCTCTTCTCTCTGCAACGGCTCACAGTGAGTGGTATTAGAAAACCCCTTGGAGAAGAGGATTTCTCCAGGGCTCCTTCTTGGCCCCTAGACCTGCAGTTCCCACGAGCTCTGGCTGCAGGAGGTCTTGCCCATGAACCGGGCATCCTGCTAGGACCACCAGGGACTACAAGGGAACCAGGGACCAAGGCCCTGCCTGCTGGCCCGTGATCCTGGCATTGGCTCTCTTCCCCCACTTTTACTTGTTCTTGACTCTGAGAACTTTCGGCACCCAATGGAATCACCATTTCAAGGCCAAGATGAACTGAAGGGGAAGAGATGTAAAAAATTGGCCTCCTCCAGCCCCTCTCATGGCACCAATGGAAGTGTCATCCTGTCCTCTGGTCAATATATGTGTTTACTTTGCTTGCTTTGACTCATGCCTTACTCCATGGCCACACTCTCCCAAAGAGGAGGGATTTGTTTTCCCCATTTTCACCTTGATCCCTGGGCGGGAAAGTGGAGGCAATGCCTTTACCCTAGCTGCCATAGGAAAAGTATAGACATAGGGCCTGGAAGTCCCCTAGATTTGCTGCCATATTGGCTTAGTAGATTTCAGGGGCGTGGCTTAGTTCCTCCCACCCCCGGTACTTCCACGGTGTGGGATCTGCACAGGCTGCCGCCCCGAGGGTGGAGCACGGAAGGGGAAAGAGCCAGCCATGGAGCTTGTAGGACAAAACAGTGGTGTTTTTAACCCACAAAGTTTGGGAGTGAGGATGCACAGCAATAGATGGCAGATTCTCTGCCTTGGGAGATTCCCCTGGGGGTTAAGATTCCTCTTAGGGTTTTAGGTCCTGCGTCCTGTGGATGGAGGCTCTTCGTGTCAGGTTCCCAGCCTGGTTCTGGAGACCCCCTCTGTGGGTTTTAAAAATACAGATCTTTCCAAGTCCTTGCCCAGTATCGGGGGTGGTCTCCCGGGCACCTGAATGTCCAGAGTATCACATGGGGGTTCAGGTTGTCTCCAGGACCTTGAAAGATGTGTTTATTCAGCCCTTCCCAGCTCCCCACCAGCCCGCTCCCCACCACTTCATGTCTGGCCATTCCCCACTGTGTCCTCCCAACTCTTTGGGCCAGGGCCTCTTTCTGAGTGTGGCTTTAAGGAGTAAGCTTGAGGATGATGTTTTTTGATTATTGTAATTCATTACCTCATTTCCAGCCTCCCAGGCTCCATCCATCCAGCATCTTTTATTCTGCCATTTTTCCTCACCTTGTGCTATGACCATGGGGCGTTATGTTTCCACAGAGACTTATAGGAGTGTTCAGTGTATAGTTTCTTAATAAACACTTTATTTTCTAATGAATGACTGAATCAGACCTCTTATTTGGCAATTTTTGCAAAGAATATTAAAGACATTTCAGGCTACCCCTGTTTTTTTTTTTTTCTTCAATTCCTCCCTATTTTACTCTTTTAAAGAAATTTCTTAGCCAAGTCCTGTTTGCAAAGGATTTTACAATCTGCTCCATTGGTTGCTTTAACTGAGACCTCTCCAGATACACTCTAAGTCCATACAATGAAGTGTTTCCTCAGTCTTACTGAGAAGGCATTAGAGGCACAGAGAAGTTGAATGGTTCACCTAGAATCACACAGCATAAGAGGCAGAAGCAAAATTCAAACCAGACTCCACCAGGTACAACTCGGGTGACTGAGACCCTTGCCTCCTTGGCAACAGGGGACTCTTCTGTTGTCTGAGCAGCCAAGACCTTTGGAGATTCTTTCTTCATAACTGAGGTGTAAGGGACTCTGGAGTGGGGTCAAGGAATCCTTTGTCTTTTCAGCACCAGCAAGCCAGTGTGATTTTTCCCTTGGTTGGAATGGTTTTATAGCTCCCTTATGAATCTTGGGGAAGAGACCTTGCCCAGAGAAAGACGGGGCTCTGAGTTTATAGGCCAACCTGTCGATTACTCAGAGACACCCCACCCCTCCCCACACACGGCACGTACACACTCAGGTGGGCCAAGCTCTCGTGGCAGGTCCCCTGTGGGCTACCAGAGAAAGGGAGGAGGAGAGTCCTGGGGTCCTACTGAGACTGAAATGCTTAGATGAGCCGGAAATGTTTGTCTGCCCTTGGTTCCTGAGCCCTGACACAGCTAGTAGTGTTGAAATGCCTTCTGAGGAGGAAATGGAAACCCATTCCAGTATTCTTGCCTGGAAAATCCCATGAATGGAGGAGAGGAGCCTGGCATGCTAGTCCACGGTGGTCACAAAAAAGTCAGACACGCCTTAGCAGCTAAATGATAACAACTCACAAAATGCAAGTCATTATTTCAGCGCATGGGTTTTAGTTGTGATGTATTGGGTTTTCTTGAGTCAGGATTTGCTTAGCAATTCCAAGGTAGAATTCAGGGATTGAAAATACATATGCACACATACAACCAGTGTCTAGCACTTGAAAAAAATATACATATCTGTATATCTTTCACTGTTAGGCACCGGTCTAGGTCTTAGGGAAGCACAGACATAATCTAGTCCTAAAAAAGCACATAATTAAACTTGAGAGACAGACCTAGAAAAGCTGATCATTAATAACGACACATCATAATACATGTATTAATGACTGCATCAGTAAGTTTTTGTGAAATCAAATGAGGCACATAGATTTAATTTTGTTTAAGAGGAACAACAGAAATATCACAGGCAATAATTAGGTTTTTAAGCTGCATTTTGAAAGAATAAGGATTCTATAGAATTTGTGAGGAAGTAAGGGTCTGGAAGATCCCCTGGAAAAAGGAACAGCTACCTGCTGCAGTGTTCTTGCCTAGAGAATCCCATGGACAGAGGAGCCTGGCGGGCTACAGTCCATGGGGTCTCGAAGAGTTGGACATGACTGAGCAACTGAGCATGAGTGCAACTTACAATATCTTCCTTTTAGGAAGAAGGGACTTTGTATGTAGGAGGTTTGGAGCAACAGAGGAGGTTGGGGGCTGGGGAAGGGCTCCTGGGAGGGTTTGGACCCCTCCCTGGGTCTCAGTACGCTTTGTTGGAGCTTCTTACTTAGGAAGTAAAGATGAGGCAGGCAAAGTGGGTAGGCGAGCTCAAGGTAGAAGTCCAACAGGAATGGATCAGGCTAGGTCTGTGCTTTTCTACTTATCCTTACTTACTTGCTCTCCTATTGGAGTCTAGTTCTATTTGAGCCTCCACCCCTCGCCTCACCCCAAGTGGAAGCTCCTTTTCTATAGAGTGGCCTGAACAGGGGGTTTGCAGCAGCTTTGCATTCTCCTGTTCTCAAGGGCTCTAGAGCTGGACCAGAGATGCCCCAAGGGTTGAGACCATCTTTGGAACCATCAGGTTGCATGGATTCCAGGGGGAATTTCATTATGTAGGGCTTCCTCGGTGACTCAGATGGTAAAGAGCATGCCCGCAGCACAGGAGACCCAGGTTTGATCTGCCGGTTGGGAAGAATCCCTGGAGGAGGAAATGGCAGCTCACTCCAGTACTCTTGCCTGGAGAATCCCATGGACAGAGGAGCCTGGTGGGCTACAGTTCATGGGGGTCACAGAGTTGGACACAAGTGAGCAACTAACATTTTCACTTAAGAGATATTTAAGCTTTGTTTTATCTGGATGCATAGAGCCTGCCAATGTATGGGAGAAAAAATGATGAGTAGCAACAGGCCCTGGGAAGATGGGAAAGGAAACCAGCCATCCTCGGGAGGAAGGGCCAGCATCACCCACGTGGAGGGAGAGTGCAACAACAAGAAGAAGAAGAGATGAGGGTGTAGGGGTTTGGGGGGCAAGGGAGTGAGAGAGGCCTTGTCTGGGGGCTTCTATTTTGCCTCTAAAGTGTAAGGTGAGGCCTTGGAGTGCAAGTGAGAACTCTAAGAGCAATGAGAAGGCTTCAAGCAGCAGGAGAGACCATGGCAGATGGCAGGGAAGCGTAAGAAAGTTCCCAGGAGGCATAAGGCCTGGCTGAAGCTGGAGAACCGTGTTGAGTGTGCAGAACTCTGTTTTCCACGCTTTCCTGCTGAGCCCTGAAGTCCCATGGCATCTACCCTGACGTTAGAGGCTCCGGAGCTGTTGGAGCTGGCATGGGGAGGCCTTGAGAACAGAACTCAGCCCGCCAAGGATGCTGGCTTGGACTGGCTTCATCCAGGAGGCTCAGGGGGACCCACAGTCCTGCAGCTCTGTGACCTTCTGGGTTTGGAATCTCACCCACAGGATTTCACAGTGACTTTCTTGAACTGGAGCTTGCATTTTGGTCATGGGGGACTTTGTGGCAAAGGCTCAAGCCCAGAAGCCAGTGTGCTTGTCCTGTGCTCT